GCCAGTCAATTGCAATTTCTGACCAATAGGAATGATGAAATGGCTTACGGATGCCAGTAATCTTACAAAATATACAGCAGCCAGTTGCACAGTCATGAAGCATTTTCAACCCTGTGCTGAATTGAGCTCCGTTAAGTGAGTTGAAACTTCAGCTATGTCTTAATACAAATCATTCGCTATATCAAACGCGCGATTATAAGCCAAATTTTCTACCCTGTGCTGAGTTCAAGCCCGATGCTGAAATTTCAACCCCGTTTTAGCTAATCGGGTTGAAATTGCGGCTCCAATTTGGGGCTGATTACAGAAGCCGGGTAGCCGTGATTCAGCCAAGCGTTAAATGATTTTGGCAAATGGAAACGATTCAATACTTGTCATCAGATAAATCTTCTGGAGCAATTTCACAATATTCTGATTTAATAACTACGCAAAACATTTAAAATTAAAACAACCAACTTGGCCTAATTTGAGATCTACAACAGGAATGAATTGCGGCATTTAACAAACATTTACCCTTGAAGTTTTGGCCCCTTTCAATCCCTCGAAATCATTTCACGCCTCACTGAATCCCGGTTAACTGGGATCATGTAAACAGCCCCTTATCGTTCTAACTTCGCCATGTGTCGAACTCAGCACTGGAACGAAAATTACCACCATGTAATCGTTTTTATCATAGGGCTGAGTTTTTCAACCATATCTAGTCAATAGATGTCGGATAGACATGATTTTTATGTTTTATATTTCTGGTTTCTATTGGATTAGATTCCTGTTAATTTCTAATTACTTTTTAACTAATTTCCAAAGGCTATAATTTGTTTTGGAGGACCCCAAACAGATTTTTAGAGTTTTTGTATTTATGTAACACGGCGATTTGTAATTTTCAGGGTGCCAATTTAGCACCCTTTAGGGAAATGAAATATGGAGCTTTTGGCTGCGTACTTCTATTAAAAATGGACGCCATATTGAAAAACAAACAATGCTCTTTGTTTGAAATGTTACGCCATAGGGCACAGCAACAATAGAAGATTTATTGTTTGGTAAACGATCAGTATTTAGGCATAGACATCAAGAAATAGTTTTTTTTGCATACGGCTTATGCTTAAGTCACAAAATAATTTTACAAAACTTACATGAAGTAATTCAATCATTAGTAAAACAATCATGTTTATTTCAAGAACTACGGAAAGGTTTTAAGGGTTTTTCAACAATTATTTCTACATTATTAAAAAAATAATTAATGTGGACATTTTGTGCTCTTATTTAAAAATTGGAAGTCCCTTTGGAACTTTTGAAGATGGATAATTGTTTTTTTGAATGTGAAGACATGAGCAAAGTGTTGATAAAGGCAGGTAAAGAAAGAGTGAAAAAAATCATTGACGCGAGCAAAACTAGAGGAGATTCCATTCATGAATGGTTAGAAAAAGAGAATCCTTGAAGGGAATCCTGACTTTCAAATAAAATGTTGCAAGTCATGTGTATCATCGTATACTTTACTGAACCATATAAAGCGTCATTTAAAAATTCAAAGCGTGAGTCAAGAAAAAACTGATGCTACAACTTTCTCGTTTGTTGTAAAACGTACACGACATTCAAATTCAAGGGCAACGTTTTCTTTCCAGGAAGACTGTGTTTTTGCGGTGAAAAATGTTTTATGCGAAAAGTTCCCCGTCACTCTAGTCGATGGCATTCACTTACCTTGTGTAAGATGGCAGATCGTGGTGTGGGGCAAAAGTCATTTAATGAAACGATATTATATGCGTGTGACATACGTAATGATAAATGAGCAGAGCAAGTACAAGCCAGAGTACTAGGGGCAGTTAGTGACCTTTATGCTACCGATGCCAAATACCACTGGGACTGCCGACCAAATTTCATGGCACCACGACAAATGTTCAAATGTGCAAATGCAACGGAAAGTCAGAATAAGGAAGACGAAAGTAGTTAAGGTGCAGGTATGGTCCCGGAAGTAAACGGAGCTCTTACCCGTGTCAATTAGTTTCCAGTCCTAGGAAGTAAACAGGGCGCGCGCGTGTAAACCGGAAACGAACTTAACGGGGGAATGTTGAATGTGATAGGTTATCATAATAAAGGGAAATGAAACAATTGACAAGAAATATTATCTAATTTATTAAAGCATCCAATAAAATGTCTTAAAGCCCTCATTGTGTATTTCATTACACGATTCACTATATAGTCGAACTATCGTCTTAAAAATGTTATTTGCGTTGTTCATTATTGCATTGCTTTTGGACGTTTTGAAAAAAGACAAAAAATATGGCACACATGTTTAATCAGATATATGCAGACACTGTTGAGTTTGAAGAAGTTAGTCACAGCGATCTTATCAATTTGATTTTCGTCGATTTTATAAGTAAAAAGATTCAAGAGCTACGAAGAGCTGAAAAGGATGAAAGTAAAGCAGATCCTTGGGTAGAGTATCAAAACGTTTTAGAAATGATGACTGAGGAAGATCGTTGGTTCAATTTTGCAGCTCGAGCAGTCGAAACAATTAATCGCGAACATGTCTGGAATGGAATATGTGAAGCCTTTAAGTTTCTAAAGAACTGTGGACCTTCGAACTCTCACAAGACATATTTTGACAAACTGTTTAGTGCTACTTGGGTAGAACTAATGTTAATTTACACGGAGACAAAACGTCCTCCTTTTTTTCAACATCTCTTTGACTATGCTGATTGTAGTTGTAAACTGAAATACAAATCAACTATGTAATTGCTTTGACAAAAGAAAAATAAAATATAAATTTCAATGTTATTGCATTTTGACTTCAGTTGTTTTATGACCATGTCATTGTGAAAATGGGAATCGGTAGCAGCAAACGTGAAATTAGAAATGCAAAAAGGGATAAAAATCATAGTCGTCAGAAAATGTTTCGCTTGGGTATAAGTTTCGGACGCAACGATCTCAATCTTGAGGGTCATTTGCAAGCAGGATACACAAGTAAAACTGTTAAAAATTATGGACCCGCCGCAGTTAAACTTCCAACAGATAATGCGATAGAAGAAACACTGCCTGTAACTGAAAACATTGAACCCATCGATAATGAGTAGTTAAAAGAAATTGACATCTAATTGCAAAATTATTATCACGAGAACATTGTCATGAGTAACGTTGACCAGTACTTAGCCGGTGTATACTTCAATCCAAAACGTCCTGGAAGCTACGGAGGTGTTGAACGTTTGTACCGCGATGTAAAGGCAGAAGGAATATATGACATTAGTCGTGAAAGAATTAAAGAATGGCTCATGCAACAAGACGCATACTCTTTGCATAAACCTATTCGAAGAAAGTTTGAAAGAAATCGTGTCGTAGTGAGTGGTATTGACGACCAGTGGCAATTGGATCTTGCAGACATGCAATCTTTGCAAAAGTATAATGATGGTTATCGCTATCTTCTTATCTGTATCGATGTTTTTTCCAAATATGCATGGGCTGTTCCATTACAAAAGAAAACAGGATCGTCGTTGGTAGAAGCTTTTAAAAAGATTTTGTCATCAGGGCGTAAACCGACACACATTCAACTGATCAAGGCTCGGAGTTTTTTAATCGAGACTTTAAGAAACTTTTGGCAGAAGAAAACGTTACCTTATTTAATACATTTAACGAGACGAAGGCATCCATCGTTGAGCGTTTGATACGTACACTGAAAACTAAAATGTAGCGCTACTTCACAGCAAACAAAACCATGAGATACATTGACATGCTTCCTGATCTACTGTATTCTTATAATCATAGCATGCATCGCAGCATTAAGGAAAAACCGATCAATGTTACAAGTGAAAATGAAGATAGAATTCGGCAAAATCTATACGGGGATAGCAAATTAAATAAACCTATGCATGTAAAATATAAGTTTGATATAGGTAACCAAGTACGAATAAGTAAAATAAAACGAAGGTTTGAGAAGGGGTATTTACCGAATTTTTCAAAAGAAATTTTCACTGTAAGTCAAAAATACCGCGCAATCCTCCTGTATACAGACTGAAAGATCATGAAGGGACGAACTTCAAGGAACATTTTATGAAAAGAACTTCAAAAGTCATCAAGAAAGACGATGTTTATGAGATTGAAAAATACTTAAGAAACGTGGTAGAGGGGCAATGTACAATATTTTGTAAAGTGGTCTGGCTACCCTAACAAATTTAATTCATGGGTACCAGCATCGGAAATACATATATAAAACGTAACCGTTTTCATGATTTTTCATTTCACATTATACCTTAAAGATGAGCGGACACACTTCTATCTGACATTACCTAGTAATGCATCTCTCTCTGTATTTCCTGAGAATAAGATTTCAGGTTATCGCGTAAAACTACCTCACGTTGTGAATTTAAATGGTAATTGGGAAGTAGGATTGTATTCAATTACATATCCTCATACATGGTACACGTTGAAAAAAGGTTTGGATACACATATATATGTAACTCACAAAACAGGTCTACCTACTCCGGTATTTGTCGACTATGGCTTGTATGAAAAGCCTTCGACCTAGTAAAATCAGTTAACGAGACTCTTGACAAAGAAGTAAAAGACAATATCAAATTGAGCTTTGACCCCGAACAGAAAAATTAAAGTGCATGTAAGACAGGGTTACAAAATATCATTTAATCAACGAATGTCGGTCTTACTCGGCTTTGGCGGAAAAGACGTAGAGATTTTAAAACAACCGAAAGTCCTTATGCTTGTGATTTGCACGGATCCGTCATGATGTATGTATATTGCAACATTGTACAACCGCAAGTTGTTGGAGACGTCAATGTAAAATTACTAAAGGCAGTTGCTATTCAAGGAAAATATGGAGACATTGTTTCAAGAACATTCACTAATATCCAATACTTACCCGTGCAAACAAAATCTTTTGAGGACATCGAAATTCTCTTAAGGGACGAGTTAGGAAATCCCATCGCATTTGAACGAGGGAAGTCGATAGTGACACTTCATTTCAGAAAACAATCCTTATCTTATTTTACATAAGAAAAAATATGAGTAGAACAAACCGTTATGTTCAATATTATCTCAATCAGCAAAAAGGATACGGATCACAACCTGTCTTTAGAGGAGCATCCTGGCAAAAAGGTTATGGGCAGATGGGTTATGGTCTTGGTGGTTTATTTCGTAGATTGGCTAGAGCTGCAATACCTTTGGCAAAAACCGGCGCAAAAGCTCTAGGTAAAATTGCCCTCGATACAGGTGCAAACGTTTTGGGTGATGTTATCTCAGGGAAAAGTTTTAAAAAGTCTGCAAAATCTCGTGTTAATCAAGCAGCAAAAGAAACAGGGAAAAAAGCTGTAAACCGTATACAACAGTTTGCTCAAACAGGAAGAGGAAAACCCCAGAAGAAACAGGCAAAAAACAGCTAAAAGAGAAAAGCATCGTCTTCTCATGTCATTTACCATTCAGCCAAGAGACATAAAGCAGCTAAAGAAGCAGAAGATATTTTCGGTTAAATATGGAGTTCGTTCATCCAAAATCAGCAGAATGTACAAAAGTGAACTTGATATATTTTTCGTACCCCAACGCAAACCAGTTTGAAAAGGGGCGATGGATAGACCATCCACCTGTCTCTAGTGTATCTGAAAGCGGTCCGATTACCTTTTAGCGCCAGGTACAGAAGATTATGTTGACTTGTCTAACACAATGTTGATGGTCAGAGCAAAAGTAACGAAAGCTGACGGTGGAAATCTCGACGATGGCGCTAAAGTAGGACCGGTGAACAATTTCTTGCATAGTTTGTTTAAGCAAGTTGATGTGTTTTGAAAGGGAAGCTAGTAACCCAAGCGACAGGAACTTATCCTTATCGTGCATATATCGATACACTTTTGAATTATGGTCCATCAGCTAAACAATCCCAGCTGACAGCTGCGTTGTTTTACAAGGACGAAGCTTCAAAAATGGAGGTTGCCGACCCAGCAAACGCCAGTCCAAACAATGGCTTGAAAACACGAAGTAAGTTTAGTGCGAGAAGTGCAATTGTCGAAATGGGAGGCCCTATATTTTGTGATGTTTTCTTCGGTGAACGCCTCCTGCTTAGCTATGTTGATTTGAAAGTGGTATTGAACCGTACCAGTGACGAGTTTGCCCTAATGGCATCCGAGGACGATGCAGCATTTAAAGTGAAACTGGTGGATGTTTATCTAAAAGTTCGCAAAGTTAAAGTGAATCCTAGTAGAGCTATGTCTCACGAAGTTGCACTGAAAAAAAGCCCAGCCGTTTACCCTGTAAGGCGTGTGGACTGCAAAAGTTTCATCATTCCATCAGGAAACCCATCGTTGCAAAAAGATAATCTTTTCAACGGTTTGGTACCGAAATCACTTGTCGTCGGGCTTGTTGCAAGTGCTGCATTCAATGGTGCTTATAAATTAAACCCATTCAATTTCCAGCATTTCAACGTTTCATCCTTAGGCATTTCTGTAAACGGCGAATCTCTACCATCTAAACCTTTCAAGCTGTCGTTTGGTAACAATCCTAGATACATAGAAGCATTTCTATCACAATTTGCTGGCACTGGAAAAATGTTTTTGAACGCCGGAAATGGAATTGATCGTGACGAGTTTCTAAAGGGTTTTGCTTTGTACTGTTTTGATTTGACGCCTGATATGTGTGGTACGGGAGAACATTTTAATACAGTGCAAAAAGGAAATCTTGCCATTGACATACAATTCTCAACAGCACCAACTAATGCTGTTAGTCTTGTGTGCTATGGAGAGTTTGAAAACGTGATCTTTATCGATTCTGAGAGGAATGTTGTCTATGACTACATTGGTTAAATGAACACCTCACAAATATCGTCTGCTTTGAGATCGGATCCTGTTACAAGCAAGAAATTTCTTGGTGTTTTTCCAGCCAATCGTTTACCTAAAGTAATCAAAAGTTATCCGAATGGGTTTATAGCAAACACCGATATCAGCGGAAAACCTGGAAGTCATTGGGTTGCATTTTACTTTCCGTCTGAACGAAAAGCCGAATTCTTCGACAGCTATGGCCAGTCGCCTGAGACTTATCATAAATTCTTTAGAGACTATTTGAAACATTATGATTGGGATTTTAATGCACGCAAATTACAAAGTATTTGGACCGATGTATGTGGACAATATTGTATATTTTACCTAAGCCAAAGAGTGCGAGGTCATAGTATGAGTAGAATTGTAAGCATGTTTGATGGTAATACTGTTGAAAACGATAAGAAGGTATCGAATTTTGTAAACAAACATTTTCAAATAGAAACTAGTGTAATCCCTAACAACGGAAATCAGTCAAGTACAAACTTATTTGTAAAAGATTGAAGTGTTTAATAATCAATAAAAAGTTCTTTGTGTGACTTAATTGCTTGCATTTTGTATTTACATATTTTCATTGACAACAAGGAGGAAAATGATATCAACTGCGATTTTATTTAAAGAAAAATCCTTTACAAGACATATTAATAGCTTAACCAACGTAATTGAGTTTTCTTGTGTGTAGTGGAAATGAATTTCGTTTTGATGAACTAGGATAAACTGTTTCGTTTTCTTCACGTGGTGAAGTTTCCATTTGAGCCTCCTTCCATCTCATATCGTTCCTAACCAAATCTCGAGGAATGTTTATTTTTGATAAAACACGAAAGAATTCTTTAGACCCTTTAGGATTGAAATTTTCCTTCCTCTCACAGCATCGCTAATTAGATCTGTTATGTTTGATTGCGGAATGGTGACTCCCTCAAGTTTGACTTGTCCAGAACCGTCCCAAGATATTATACTTGGCTGTGTTCTAAGGCGCTGCAATATTGCTTTCGCCCGCTCACGCATAGTTTTGGCACACTTTGTACAATGACAGAGTCAGCTAATGTCTGATTTTCGTTGTCACTTATGTTTTTCATTCCCATCAGTGTCTACCACGTACCATGGGTATCTGATTATCTTTCTGTTGCTTCAATTTAAGGAATTGTTCAAAGTTTGCGTTAAAAGTTTTTGTCTTTGATCGTCACTCATATCGTCTTGTTGAAGAATATGAGAGCTGCGAGTCTTTATTCATCATATTCATCATGATCGGACTAGTTTCAAGTTTTTGTTGTTTTTCGTATCTGTTAAATACATCTTCAGGTACAAGAATCATACGCTTGGCATGCTTCATTTTGTCAACAAACTACCTAGCACTGTCAAAACCGGAGGTAGTAACGCAGTCAGCAGATTTCCCCCTTTTTGATTTAAAATCTTTTTCTTCTTGCACTTGAAATTCTCTTGTTGGCTAATGCTCCGTGATGTTTCTTACACCTCGACAATCGACATTCTTGATTCACAGATATAGATACAGTTCCTTTTAACACGTCGACTGCACCTTCACAAATACACAAAATAACGTCAGAAGGCCATGTTCGATGATCACTTTTCAAACTTTTGGTTTAGATTTTGGAAGTACTTGCAAATACGGAAGACTGTTCCTAATTCGCTTAGACATTGTGCTTAATGATTGTTGATGGCGATGATTATTACCTATGTCCATAGACAATATGCTTTCCACCAAGCGAGATATTTGTTCTGACATATTGTCATGTGTGAGCTGATGCATATCCAGCATTACATAACGAAAAGGGCGGTTTGTAGCATCTTGAAATGATTCCAAAAGGTAATTCGTTTTCTTCGGATACATTTGTCGTGCCAGTGTGGAGAAACCTAAAATGTCTCTAGGGTTTTTTGAAAATGATCATGTAATGAGAATTTAGACTTATAGTTCGCGATTGTTTACCAGGCGGAAATAAATTTTGCGTTAAATACATGACAGATATTCCGCGATGATGTGACCCGCGGGTAAATAAATCCGACATTCGTTGATCATTAGAACACTCGGACATAAGATCGTCTACAATGACTAAAGAGTTTTGACATCCTTCCAAAACATCGGTCAAGTTCTCAGGGAATCCTTCGACGAAGCAAATGTTTGGAATTTTCGATTCCATTTCACCAAATTCACTTTGCCGTTCGCCATAAGAGTAAATAATTTTATTCGGAACGGGATAAAAAAGTTCATTTAAATTATAAAGCATCGACCTAACCAAATAGCTTTTGCCTGACTGACTTTGACCACACACATAAAAGTTGGCAGGTGTTCTAAAACGTACGTCCATTGTCTCGCAAATAAAAGCAAACATGTTCAGCTTTCACTTTTATAACCACTCGCTAGTAAACATTTTGACATATTCAAAAAAAGAAGGAATGATTCGACTGGTTTGAATGGGGCGGTATTTGTAAAATAGTGACAAAGTGCATACATTAAGAATACATTGGACAATGAGCAATTTTTATTAAATATTTTTCTAATTATCTACATCAATCAAACAAAAAAGTCTCTTTGATTACATATGAACAAGTCTTACTCTAGCATATATTTATGACAGAAAATTTTAAAAAGCACTTGATGGTTTTACTTTAAAATCCTCACAAGCATAGGCATGCCTTTTAATCGTTCATTCATTTTGTAACTACATTCATAGTTCACAAGAGTTGTTTGTAACTTTTCCAATTGCCATAATAAATTCCTTGCTGCCTGCATGTTTTTTTTTATGGCGGCATGTGCAACCCATGGTGAAAAATGTGGTTATGTGAAGAGATATCATTTGTTAGATTGTTCTAACATGAATCTGAAGCATGTTCCTGTCGGAACGGTAAAAAATACACGAATAAGGATTTTGTCGTTGAGACGAAACAACATTAAAGCTGTGAATGAACTTAATGTTATTCGTGCGTACCCAAGACTTATGTACATTGATTTACGTGAAAAACCTCTGTCCTGTCCTGTAAATTTCTCAATGTTAAATGTGTGGTATGATCCGTGTCCAACCAGAAAAAGATTTGTATTTGACGCCTGTGAACTCATTTTCGTCTGTGACACCACTTTTTTCGTGTACGTCAGCCACAAGAAATCGTTTACCTCAGTCGTTCGTCAGTTTTTCTTCTCTTCCATCGTCGTTGATTATGTCCACCACATGTAAATCATCGCACGTTCCGTTGTCCCTCCGAAAGTTTTATGTTCATCCCTCGCTGATTTTTTTTAACATGTCAACCTCCATTTCAACTTCATCACAGTCGCTGTTATTATCGTCTACATCTTTGCTGTTGTCGCCGTCAACGTCATCAACACCTCCACATTCAGCGATATCATTTTCAACTTCAAAGTCATCACCCCTGTTGTCGTTATTACCACTGTTACCACCACTCTCACCATCAACATCACCACCGTTTCATTCGCAGCTGTCGTCTTCGTCTTTACATTCATCACCCTCCTTGTCGTTATCACCATCACAGTCAGAATCAATGGTATCGCCTTCATCGTTTATGTATTTTGTTCCACCAGCGAAAGAAAAAACTGTCAACTTTTATGTGTTGGTTCCTTCTACGTTAGTTTCCATATTTGTCTGTATAATGCTGATGTATTGCATAGTTCACAATTGTCGTCGCTGTTTCCCCTCTGTACATACCGATCACATAGAAATGACTGCGTATTGTGTTCAATCATCGTCAGCCTTGTCCAGTGTAGAAATGTGTCAAACAACCTTAGTCTAAAAATATGTATATTTGTTTGTTAGTTTGCTTCTCATTGATTCAAAACTATTCATCTTTTTTTTGTTGTTAAAAATGTATACAGTATATGTATGTATCTTTAATTTACCTGCATTGGTATTATATCTGTTGATCCACTTGTCTGTAAAATGAAAGTTCACTGTCGGATTGATCACTGTCATCTAGAAACTCCATATCTGATTGTCTTTCGGAAAAGACTTCTTCATCATTTTCGGAGTCGGTTATCATTAAATCAATCGACTTGCTAATTTCCTCCTCTTCTGACCCGCTTTCCATGTCATTTTCTTGCACAATTTTGATGAACGGATGTAAACAAAATATCATCCGTCACCGCATCGTGTGTGGGAGAAGTCTGATGGTGTGAACTTTCAAGTGTCGGCACCTTCGTCTATTATTATTCGTTAGTCAAAGACAACTTGATATTTTTTAATTTGATTTCTATTTACAAGATTGCGCGACCATTTTGCTCAGACTATTTTGCATTCTTCTATTTCTACAGTTGATGTTTTTTCTACATAGTTATAAATCATTTCTTTTAACGAATCAAAGTTTAAAAGCAAGCTTTTTTTAAGTTTCAATGTGACACCTCTTATTTTACAATGCTGTTTACCATTACTAATTGTATAAGCATTATTTCTAGGACCTCCACAGACAAATTTAGTAGTGTGCTCGCCTTTGTCAATTTCATTAGTCAAATCCCGCAAATAGTCACCCAGAAGAGGCTTTTCTGAATCAGGCGTTGCAACAAAAACTACGGTGTCCATATAAAATATTATTATGCAATCGGTCTAACACGTTGTATAATGCTAAACGTACCCATGCAGTAGTAAAAATACCAATAAATATATGTGTTGTTTTATTTTCCTTTGAAACTCACAATGACACTTGTAAATAACTTCAACTAAATCGTCATTCAGTAATTGCATATCGTGAATCTCGGTATCGGCGCTATTTAGTCGATTGTACAATACAAAGCGTCGTGAATAAATTCAGTAATTAACATGTCATTACTTTGTGCAAATTTACCCCACAGTGAATTCAAACAAAGCTTTGCTAGTGATCTTAACCCTGCATTTTTTACAATTTTCTCCTTACGCAATAGAATTCCCTCATGCTTTAGGTAGTCATTGATATATTTTGCCTGGTCTGATTCTGAGGAAATCCATGCGGGGTAGCCTGAAGCCTCTTGTTTTAATCGCAAAAGAAATTGACATTTTCGCTAAATAAGCTGTCAGAGCTTTCTTCGAAATGCCAGATTTCATGTATCTCTAAAACTTTGTAGCCTTTTCAATTGCCTTAGTCATTTCAATGGTAGTAAAGTCCCCAAAAACACGCTCGTTTTCTGAATGATGACATTCTGCCGTGTAATCCATTCTGCCAAAGTAATTAGAAAGGTCTTTAAAGGTTTTGTGAATAATTGTGGGATGACCCGTAGGATAACGTCGATTTTTTCATAACAAACATGTAAAGACTTGTAAAATCGTAATAAAAGATTTTCTCGTTTTCTTCAGCCTTATGAAACAACTTAAAGCCTTCAACTCTACCTCCAAAAAAACTATCAGTCGCGCATAGGTCTGTTATGAATTCGTGTGTGTTTAGAAAATACTGCATTTGCGGTGTCTGTCTCAGTCGTTTGAAATCATGCTCACATATCGTTTTCACATTATACCTTAACTCTAATAATCTTTTCTCACGCTCAATGGTTCGATTGTACGCGTCTCTTAGTGTTGTCCCTCTGTGATAAGGATTTTCACCTCTCAAATCAAGACATAAGGCAGCCGTGATAAACTTTACCATAAAACTCATACACAGTATTAGTGTCTTCGCAAAATCCGTTGACGAAAATATTTAAAATAGTAAACCTACAGTTTCATAAATATATGGACTCTAGCTGTGCTAGCCGATTCTAATTACCTCAAGGATTAAGTTTTGTCTGCATTTTTTAATTGTTTGATTAAGGCTTCTTTTAATCATGTTTCCGTTAAAATTTTTTCCCATGAAAATTACCAAAATAGTAAACATACAGTTTCATAAATATGTGGACTCTAGCTGTGCTAGCCAATTATAATTATCTCAAGGATTAAGTTTTGTCTACATTTTTTATTGTTTGATTAAGGCTTCTTTTAATCATATTTCCATTAAAATTCTTTCTCCACACGAATGATGAATAATTTCGTCTTGCTTGTTTTCATTGTATAATGACAAGTTAAAAATTGCAGAGATGATAATTGTTAAGACTCATAGCCATAATTTTTAAGACAGTATTGATACATAATATTTTTTCCAAACCAAAACTGACAATGACCTTGAAAGTTATTTCACAATCTTACTTGGCGATGCTTGAAATACATTAGGCATGCTGACATACGAGTTAATTTACTGTTTTAATTCTTTAATGCCTTCATTCAACCTGAAACGCACGCATGCCAAGGAATTAATCGATCCATTGGAAAATTACTGCCAACAAAAGAGCCTATGTCAATAATGTGCATGTAAAAGCACTCACAAAGTCTCAGGCAAGTAAACGGCGAAGGCATCAGCAAAGAAAACCAACAGCTAGAATGGCTACACAAAACACCATTAGACCGATTTTAAGTAAGTTGAATTGGAATACAATTTCAATGTTACATATGACTTTAGAAAATTTAAGTTGCGATTTTGTTCATTGTTTTAGGCCAGTGAGAACACTGCCACCTATGGGTGATCTGTCTACCGAGCTGTGGGCATAAAGTACATCTATCTTTGGTTTGAAGAGAGGCTAGTAGAATGCTTGCCATTCAAATGTCCGATATGCTTTAAAGTCAAATAATTAATATGCTTGCTGAATGTTGCAGTCGTGTTTTTTTTTATGTAATGTCCATTGCTTTATACTCTAGATGTTTTGACGAAGAAGTTGATCGCTTCTTAGAAGATTTTTTTGAGTATGTATTTTTATAATTCTTTATCTTTTGAAAAGTGATACAGTAGAACAGTCAGTAAGATTGATTTCTTTTTATTTCAGAGTGATCGTTGCTAGTTTCTTTCAATAAAATGTTTATTTCAATAAAATTTATTTAAGAATATCAACGTCTCATGTTCTAATTTGTTCTTTTTTTCTGTCAAAAATATTTTTCTCCAATCATTACAAGTGTACTTGATAAGTTCTAGCCCATTTACTATCGGAGTCATGTCTTGTAAACTATCAAAGAAGGATTTCATGACTTCTTCCTCATCAATTTTTGATACTGCATCTTCAAAGTAAATCGCTACCCTTTCATCATTAGGCATCATCAAGCATTCATGGCGCTTTTGTGAGGGGTGTTGAACGCGACAACCGTCACAGTCTTTTGCCACAAGTTCGTATATTTTAAAACCAATTTCAGTAGCATAGCACTTTAACAATTTATTCTGTATATTGCTTTGGCGTTCATCTAAAACATGGCTCTCATCTTCAAATTCGAAGGACGATTCCTTCACTTTCTTTGCTTGCTCAATGTCTACTTTTAAAGCCATTTTCGTTTTAGTAAGACAAAAATTACCAAATAACTTTAACTCAATAAAATTGTAACGTGTTCTCCTTTTTTATATTTGCAAAGGAAACAAGAAAGCGGATCTAATATTGCTTTAAGAATAGAAACCAATTGGCAATTTTAATTAAGTTTTATCGTGTTGCAATTAATCATGTCATCCAATAGCAACCTTCGTTCATTTTATGTCGTTTCCGGTTTACACGCGCGCGCCCTGTTTACTTCCTAGGACTGGAAACTAATTGACACGGGTAAGAGCTCCGTTTACTTCCGGGACCATACCTGCACCTTAACTACTGACGAAGATGAGGCTTTCCAAACTGTTATTAATAAGATAAGACCTGATTGTTTGCCATAAATTCCAAAGGGCTATTGATGTATAAAAAGCATTTTCTATAAAGTAAAAATGTCTTCCTATGTATGCAGATAAACCTTGAAATTTGGCAAAACAGCAAAGTATTTTTCATGATCACTAGGTAATTTTTCTGATGATCATTATAATTTCTAAACTAAATTATTTCAGATTTACATTTAAACGAGCTTTGATCATATGAAAAGATATTTATCATAACCAGTAAGAATGACACATGAACCAATTTCAACATTCATGTAATTATATGATTGAAGGCATGTTGGTTACATTCTGTTTGTATTGGCAAAGCCAATGCTACTGGTGATTGCTATAAAGCACACCTTGCATATAATTACAGAAGATAATAGTCAAGTGAAATGCAAGTAAACATTAAGCTGTCCCTAATTGCAAATTTTCACTCTGATAATTTTTGCTTAATCCTTGGCAGAAAAAAATTTTGAATTTTTTCTGGAAAGGTGAATTTGATGGCCCTGTTTGTGGAGATGGGTAAAGGGTTACAATAAACTTGCATGGTTTGAAGTTTGAACTTTTCTACATCTATGAACTGCCCCTTGTAGTACAAAATTTCTAACTTAACTAAACTCATTACATAGAGGTTTGGATGGGGGTCTCTAGGGGGGTCTATGCCTGACAACTTGATAGAAATTCTTAAAGACAATATATTTTTTGGAATAGCATTATTGTAAATTGAATTTTGTTCCTGGCATGGTAATGAGCCATATATTTGGCATGATAATGAGCCTAAATATTTGGCAAAACATTCAAGTATTGTTCACTTCAGAAAACGTAAGCAAAATGTTTTGTATTTGCGCAAAAACGATGCCCACAAATTGCATTTTGTATTGCTCTAAAACGCTGAAAATGGCATTTCCAAGTCTCTGAAATTCAAAATTTCCCAGGGGAGAATACCTCGGACCCCCCACAGGTGCGGAGCGCCTCTGACGTTTTATGACTGACGTTTGAAAAATCCTAGATCCGCCCCTGCTTTATCATATATGAGTCATAAGATATCATTATACTATAAAAATCTGGATATGACTGTTCTATGTCAAAAACAATGACCTTATTTTTAAAATACGGTGAAAGATCAGGAAATAAATGTAAAAAGAAGTCATAAAAACAGGTATGACTGAAAGAGTACATTTAAGCAGTATTAAAATATGTTTTTGTTATTGGGTTAAATTACAGTAATTTAGAAAATGTTCATATGGCCTTTGCCATAATCACCACAAAACGCAACAAACTCTTGTTCGCAACATTTTTCATTCAGTCTGTGGAAATGTTCAATAACAGCCAAATAATAAAATTTTAGATCCCTAACCTCTTTGTTTTAGAAAATCTTTGCAACTCATTTTGTATCTACATTTCTACAACACAGCATGCCTGTATCAGTATGTATTATTTTCATAATTTATTTAAACATGTGCTAAAAAGCAGAAGTGAGACAGTTCGGATGGCTGAAATCTAGAAATAAAATGTGTCAGCCAATATATGAGCTCTTAAATTAGATTTTCACTAAGGGTGCCAAGGTGACACCCTTAAAATTATGAATTTTATATTTTGTAAAGATACAAGAAATGCAAAAACCTGTTTGGGGTCCTTCACAGCAACGTTCTGTCTTAAAGTGGCATTTGGCAACTGGACTATAATTAGAATTTATATTTAGTTAATTTAACACGCACAATAAAACATGCGAGTAAACAGCCATTTTCATGTCAAGAACGTTGGTCAGAGAAAATCATTAATCACCCACATGCCACAATGGCTACTCCATTTTCACATTCTCTGCATGAACAAAAACTGGTAGTAACTGTAACGTACGGAGCAAATGCCACTAGCAAGCTGCTGTAGACCCAATTTGACTTTATATTTTCTTTACAACCCGCCTACAATAATTCACTAATTTTCTTATTTACACTTCTTTATTAAGTAAATTCTGTTAGTAACTTATACGTCTTTTTATGTACATGCACTATTCGTGTAAGACTTATATATTATTTATTGGCACAGGATCATGCACGTAGCCAGAACAATAATTGGGGCATATTCATATACATTAATTTTATAATCCGTAAAAACAAATTTTATCTTTACGATAGAAAACATGCTCAATTGCATGCGCATATAAAATTTAAATAAAAGATTTCCAAATTCATTATTCACAAATTTTATTTTCTCTCCACCCACCCCCTCCCTAAGGGAAAGTATAGTTTTTTCCAGCTGGGATCTTTGGAAATGCTCCATTGTTAAAAGATAATTTACATACGCGATGCAAAACAAGACATACGTATTATTTTGATAGTTGCTTCTCATCAGACGAAGCAAAAACTTTAAGTAGTGGAACAAGCACTGAAATTATTGTAAGTTTTATTTTTATCGTATTCTCTTTATGATTTAACAGTGGTACGCTTTGCCATAAAAATTTGCGAATTCTTTCTGTATATGTAATGACAATGCTGAAATTCCATTGCGTCAAACGTTTGACTTAAATGCCACAAGTTTGAATTTGTATGTAGTTTTAGTCTCTATTTATTTCTCCTTGTCTAAGATTATATTTTAAAGGTATAGATTTTTACAAATAGCGAAAATTTAGAAAAAAATTAATCAGACAGCAAGTACTAAAACAATTCCATATCATTGGGCTGGGGTGTTCGATTGTTACTCACTAATATATCGTTATTCTTATAAAATAGCGTTACAACAAGACCATTTTAAAGCTCTTATTATTTGGGCAACTTTGTTAGCGTGTATATTAAATATTTATTTTGTTCATGAGTCATGAGTCAAGAGACTTGAACTACGTAGGCGGGAATGGACACGCAAGCAAATTTTTCAATAAAAAATAAAATTCATAGGAAGATTGCTGTTGGCGTTGTTTAAATTATTTTCATCAGCTTATCATTTAGATCTTGACAAATTTCCATTGGTACTTCATGATGATTTGGTTGAAAACTGGTAATCGCTTGAAAACTCTATAAAATTGAAATTACATGGATTACTATGCAGCATTTCAATAAATACGATATTCAAGTTTATCGTTTGCATTTTTTCGTCTGTTTAACGTTTCAGAGGGAAAAAACTGTAAATCTTAAGTACATCATAACTGAAATAAATATTACTGAAAGATTGCCGATAAAAATTTCGCATAACTTATCTTTGACATTGAAAATATTCAAAGTTACCAGTTCATTAAATGCACCATGCTAAGCAAACACAAAACGGAAAATTGAAGAATGATGAGAATATTAAAATGACGTGTTCTCTAACACTCGAATTTATTTGCAATATGAATACGATGTGAATAATACATATGTCGTAATCAACTATCTCAAGTGTTATTATATATAGATAAGTAGATTGCAATGCAGTTTTCAAGAGCTTAGCTTGTTTTTAATTTGCTGAAATTTAATCGTTGTTGCTAATACCTGTATCTAACATCTTAAATTTTATTTTTTAGAAATTATTGTTTTCCTATCAAAGTAAAAACAAGTTGCTTTTCTTTCTGTCATAATGATGATTAAATGTCCAAGCGCTTTGATAAAAAGCAAAAAAATAAAATTGTCAAAGCCAAAATGATTAAGATACACTAAACTTAATTATTTTTATGATGCTTCGTTATTGGTCAACGCTGACTACATCGTACAGTACAAAATTCTTGTATATGCATTCCACACACATCTTTATAGAAGTTCATTTCACTGACTTCCACACACGCAGTTCAACCAATAATTTAGTAGAACTACCGCAAGTTTTTTTTCTTGAATTTATGTATGGCACTTTTCATTAATGAGATTATTTCTTCCTGAATTAAAGACTGAACATTTCTATAAAGCTATTTGCATCAAAGACAGAAGTGATGTATATTATTTCAAATTGTATATTTTAATTAGCCATGTATACATCTACATGCATAATGTACCTTTTAAAACATCCCATACAATTATCATACCGTCTTTGATTAGTAATTTTATTTGGTATTTTTTAGTTCTAACCATTTTGTCATTCAAATGGATCCAAGCTACAACTCCTCAGAAAGTCTGGTCAGAAACTCAAGCTTTTCAGAAGGTAACCTTAAGAACATTAGGTTCATTAATTCTCCGAACTCTTTTAACTCGACAGATGCTTTCATCATTGATTTTCAATCTCAATGTTTTCGCCTTTAAAGTGGAAAGGTCCTGACATCAACTTTTCCATTCACAAGAATTGAAAATTATTTAGCAGTGGAAAATCAAAAGCAAGCTGACGCAATTTCTAAAGTTAACGAGAGTAAATTAAGTGTGGAAACAAGGTGTTAATAACTTTTAAGAGGAGCATTCAGTCTAAACATCCCTCAACGTCCTTTGAACTAAATATCCCTCATCCGTGTGTTTGGGAGCAGGGAAATACGATGTTAATACAAATAAACTGAAGCAAAGGCAAACATGTTGTTATGTTATAATTTAGTAGCTAAATATAAAAGTCAGTTCACCTTAACTGCTAAAGATGTGTAGGTATTTCAAATCTTGTCTAATAGTCACATTTTTTTGATGTGCATATAATTAGAAAATTAAATTTCTTCTTGATACATTGATTTATTCCTTTCTAAATAGTCTACTTTACTTTTTAATTGAAGAATTGCTGTCTCAACCGTGGAAATGTTATGATAAATCAATAATGCATCACCAAATGTTCAAAATGATGGAGGAATATGGGCAGGAAAATCCAAGAAAAGTTAAACTTGTAAATGGTGTAAAGGTTATTTGTTCTGAAGAGTTTTGCTTGGTAAAGGAAGTGATGGAACTCGTGTTTACCTTGGACTCGGAAAGATGGTTACGGAAAAGCAGTAAAACGATTGCTTCGAGATAACTGTGCGGAGTTGGCCAAACGAGAAAAAGATATTTTGAATGAGTTGAATGCCAAGCGCTCAAATTATGTTGTGAATTATTGGTATCTTGAAGAAGAACCAGGCACAGATTATTTGTATTTGATATTAGATTTGTGTGAAGAATCGTTAGAGAGCTATGTGAAATCTTCTTCTTTGCAAGATCTTCAAAAAGTCGTTCCTAAAGTTCTTATTCAAATCTTAAATGGTCTAGTTCACCTTCACAGTGCTCCGTGTCCTATTCTTCATCGGGATTTAAGACCATCAAACGTTCTTCGAGATGTGGATGGAAATTTTTTAATCGCTGACTTTGGTATATGTCGAGAATTATTAAATGAAACTTCGACACATCAAAGCATACAAAAAGGAGCTAAAGGTTGGATAGCTCCAGAGTCATATGACGCATCAGATGAATCAATTGATAAAGTTCGTTACAAAAAAGAGTCTGACATTATGGTAAGTTCTTGAAGTAGAAATAGAGGTCCCTACCAAATACAACATTCAAATGTTGTATTTGGTAGGGATATCATTATCACTGCCACTGTTATCATTATAACTTTTAAATAAAATTTTTGTTTACCTTCATTGTACAGTCATATAGTGGCGAAATACAAGTTGTACTGTATAAAATATAAAAATATGTATATGTATGATAATGAATTGTTAATATTGCCTTATTGGTTTTACGATTGTATGTCTCTCATTTAGATTGCTATAAAAAATTCATGGCTACGATTCTTAATTGGAGAACATTATTCTGATTTTTTTCGAACTGAACTTGTATTTTTTGCAACTAAAAAATAGATTAACTCCATTTTTTATTGAAAATAGAATGCCGGAATGGTGGCTTATTATGTTGCAACAAAGGGGAAACATCCTTTTGGAATTAAACAGCATAGACTGGACAACATTTTGAAAGGAAACCCAGTTGCCTTGATCGAAATCGAGGATGCCACGTTCAAAGACCTTTTATCGTGGATGCTACAGCTAAAACCGGAAGACAGACCATCGGCCAAAAAGGCGTTAAAACACCCTTATCTACAAACCGATAGGGAGAATTTTGATTTGCTGTGTGATGTTGGGAATGAACCAGAAATAAAGACATCATCTCCACATTCTCTTCCCTCAAATATTCGTGAGCAGTTAAGTCTTTCAATAGGTTGGATGGACCGTATCGATTCTGAATTCTTTAATCATTTCAACAAAGTATCCGACTCTACATGGTTAGGTTGCCTAAGATTTTTACGAAACGTTCGCCAGCATTGGCGTGATAAACCTCGTCCACAACTGTCATCATGTGTTAAAGATGGAAACTATCAAGAGTATTTTCTTCAACTTTTTGAGGAGCTGCCTTATCTAGTTCACCGAGCCATAAGATTGAGTGACTGGAAGGCAAGACCTGATCTAGAGAAACATTTTCAAGTAAGACACAGAAATGAGTTTTCATTTTTGATGGCCAAGCTATAAATTAGGGGTCCATGACACTATATTTGTTATTTTCACTCTCGTTCTCCTCTTCATTTATTGTACTTAATGCATGTATGTTTTGAATTCTGTATATTGCCGTTGCAAATATATTTTAGACAGTGAGCATCCTGTAAAACTTGAAGAAGGCAAGGGAAAGAAAAGCGAAGCTGTTATTGACTACGCTGATCTTAACGGTAAATAGCTATGTAACAACAAACAAATTCTGTGTACGTGTCACTTTTCTTAAATATTCTACCAAAAACCGTAATCTCTTCACTTGTATCTGGTGCATCGTTTTCTAATTTTGTGCAACTGAAAATAACGGTTCCAAGCATGTGTGATAGTACTAGCAATAGTCAAAAATCTTTAGACGAGATAAACGATTTGTCCGATATCCAAAGATAGTGACGAGTACCTACGAATCATAGTGATTCAGAGACTTTGGCATATTATTATCGTATGGTAAAAGAAGATTATAGCTTATTATGTTTTCAAACTTGTAAAGAACACATATGCAATAGTAAATATTGTGTATCTTTTGCTTTATGTCAGCAAATGCTTTCACGTCATATGCATTAATGCTGAAATTGCAAAAAATGCTTGCTTAGAAAAAGAAGAGAGTTTTCGATTAGAGTTATTAATCCTTTTAGCAGCTCCTTTCACTTATTTTATTTTCTTTGCATTATTTATCCTAAGTGTAAATGGTCAGATGAAATGACGAATGGAAAAACAAGAACATTATCGTTTTCAATTTAAAGCTAAAATGTGCCACATCAATGAAGTCTTTTTATTGTCTGCAAAAGAGGTTTATGAGAAAGCAATTGGCAAGAAGGAAATCAATGATACCACAATTCAAGATCCTCTTTTATGTATGTTTTAATTTAAGGCTCTTAAGTAACCAAGTTGGATATTACATGGCCAGATTTCTATGAATTTTTATTGGATTTTGCAATGTTATATAATTAACTGTTATTTTTGTCTTCAAATGACTAACGATCCAAAACTGAAGGCGAATGAAATTTAAATTTGATTTCCATACATCATGTTTGTTATGTAAAATATTCAATAAATTTTAACATGTGTAATTTAGTAATACATAGCATTTCTTCAAGTATAACAATGTATAACAATACATATTACTATATATAACAATACAATATGGATGTCATGACTTGTAACGCAATTAAGGAGTTGCTCGATCTGTGCTCAAAATCCGTTGTACTTTAGCGTTATATAATTCTTTCGTATGAGCTCCGAGCGTGAGTTCAATGTACTAGAACGCTATTCAGTTTATGTACGTCACTACAGTACCACTGCAAAGGGTAAAAGATTGATATGCATAAAAAGAACAACTTATTGAATTGGGGAAATTGGTAATATTTGAATAAAATGACACTTTCATGTGAGGTTGTGATCATTTCCTAGTATTTCTTTTGTTGCAGCTTTGAAATTGTTAAAAGAAAATCTGTGTACGTTGAGATAATGATGACGAAGTCAAAGTTGCTGAACTTTTGTTTATTCAGGCTTAGTTGTGTTGCATTTTTTTTTTGAGACAAAAGATGGTATGTTTTAAGCCACAAGCTTGCATTTATGAATTTCAGTCTTTTAAATACTTCGCCAGATCTGTCTCTTTCAGTCATTTGTTACTTGTTAGGTCAAGATCTACATTTTCAGTTAATTTCCATTGATTCTATTATTGTAGTGTGTATCATTGGTGTGTATGGAATTCAAAGTATGAATACTGCCGAGGGACTCTACCATGTTTCATTATTTTAATTGAAACATCCATATTTCTCATGCCTTGCTTTACAAAAGACAATTTTCGCAATTATTCGTGAGTTATCAGTTATTTAATGATAAGCTTTTCGTCTTGAGAGAAGAATTTTTATCAGATTATATTTATTTTGAGGGCTATTTAAATTACAAATTAAACATAAATACAGTAAACCAAGTCATTAATCTCATAATTATGTCAACAACAACTCACTCGTAATGCAATTCGTCTTTGCATGTTGTCAATCACATTTTTTCCTAATTTTTGATCGCTTAGCTCTACAAAAAAAAATGGCTCAGGAGCCGCGAAGCTATGTATGTTCGGAAACCTCCAATTTTTAGATTGTGAGCATTTTATAAGATTTGATAAAAAATGGAATACCTGGTTTATACAGATGTGCAAACTTTTCAATTAGGGTGACATGATGCAGTTAAAAAAAAAATCGAATTAAATATCAAAAAATTTATCACACTAGTTTAACTATTGTCAATTACCACACAGTTAGCATGGCACAAACACAACTTTTCGAAACCCCTGCGGTTGCATGTATTGTTTTATATGCAAGTGTTTATTATATATTTCTGGGCTTGTTTTCTTGTTGTACCGACAGAAAATCCCAGAAGAAAAGAAGTGTCTGCTCGAAATATCAAGAACCAAACCAAGTCAATGATATGAGCCTGAGAGTATTTTCCTAAATTATTGTTGTGAATTGATTTAATGCCTTTTGTTCATGTTTTGTACTCCAACTTTCTACACTAAGTTATTGGTTGAAAGAACGATTGTTGGCAAAGCATTCAGCAGCTTTACCAGTCAATGTTATGCTTTTAAACAAAAAAATATAACATCCATCGCTAAAATGACTTCACTTAAGTGCATCCGTTATCAAAGAATGGGTTGTCTAATAAGGATGTGGATATTATGTACATTGTCATTGTTAAGAAGGAAGATTTTCAGCATTTTGGTATAAATCATATTGTATGATGCAAATGACCAGCTTTCAAAATTCGAACAGCTAGCCCACTGCAGGGCGTTCGTAGCGAGTAGAATGAGACTTATTTATTAAACTCAAGATTTGAACAATGCTATTTTCCAGAATGCAGTCTATGTTTAAGATTTTAGCAAGTTTGTAGATTCCGTGGACTCTGTAGCATGTGCATAAAAAACTGAAGGAGTCACGGTCCATTCCTATCTCGAAACACGTTTTTCTGAACGAAATTAAAATCGACTAAAACAGATCATCTCTACTTGTACCTAGTTCATGGTATTTTATAACTGTTTGGGACTCCTACAATTCATTGACTTGTTATCAATTAGGATCATGGGATTGGGACGAAAATCTTCACGACCATAATTAAAGATGGGTTAGGTAAGCCAGCTGGTAAAGGCCGTTGAGTCTTCAGTGGTCTGGGGACAAGTAAGATGATTACATGAATCTTAATTTTTTTAAATGGAAACATCGCTTTTAAATGTTGGTTAAATGTTGCCAATAATATAAATAAATATTTACGAAATGAACTTACATGAAAATAGTTTTATAACCATTAAGCTAGTTAAGTAAAGGAGAAATACATTTTTATAGGTTTTGTTATCTGTGGATTTTACAATGATTCACAGCAGTGGCGTGGTGGAAGGGGGGGCCAGGGGGGCCAGGGCCCCCCTAGCTGTTGATTTTGGGGGGCGCTGAATTGAATACGAGTCATCAAGTTTTAAAAATGGGCTATAAAAATTAAAAACGCATTTGAAACAGAACAGTTATTTTCGCAGTTATATATTCAGTGAATGAAGTTAACTTTAGGGAATTAGGTAAAAAGTAGACAGACCAAAATGAAACCTTGTAAGGGGGTCGAATAAAGAATAGGATATTGACGAGAATTCTATAATTAGATGTTTCGTTTGTGGACAACACCTGCATAATTTGTCACGATGACTGTAGACAACATATAGGGAAGAAACTAGAATTGTGAATATTCATATATTCAGCTTTGCCCTGCTGATTTCTATTGAATTTAACATCGCCAACAAAAGAAATCAACAGCAAGGCAGAGCTGAATATATGAATATTTACACCACCCCCCAATTAGCATTCTAGTTTCGCCTATGCGTACACGGCCAAATTGTCCTCTTAAGGGACGCAACAAGGCCTAAAATGTGTAATTTTTTGCCTATCTTAATCAATGTTTTTTGCTTCCCTCACAGACTGTAATCGTTACTGGCATTGTATCTTATAAATCCGAGCGTAATAATATATTTTCAAAATGACAGTAGTGCAGTCATTGGTAAATTGCTATCATAATGCATAGTCTAAAATGAAGTAGCCCTTAATGATACCGCAGCATGTACTGCATTGTTTGTTTTGTGTTATTTACATTTTCATCGTTACGACGATTCATTTGTCATTTTTAGTAGTAAAGCAAGTTATTATACGGTAAAACTTTTTTAAATCACTTAAAGGTTCTTCGTAAATGTTCAAGATTCATTTATCAGCAGTTATCGAATGTGCATAACAGCATATATTTAATTAAAATTAAAATATTTTTTAAACAACAACATTTGAAGACCAATTAAACTAATGTCTCAAAATGCAAAACTCTCATTTTGAGCAGATGTAATACCGATGTAATTCACACAACAAACATTTCATTTGATAATTCCTTTGTGTTGGGAAGTCTATTTTAATATTATTTAATGTACATCATGGATCATGGTGCAATGTTAAAGACTAACTGCAATGTCTAATTCTTTCAACACCACAAAGAGAAAAAAGTCGGGTGCTGAGTATCGAAGATTAAAGAAAGCTAGACAAGAAGAATTTTCAAAACTTGGGGAAGTTTTGCTTGATTACTTTAAACCTATACAAAATGACCCACCATGCATTTTGTCACAAACAACAGAGAAGTTAGAATTAAAACTCAGGGAAACGCCGAACATCAGTGAAGACCTTAAACAAGTGCATGCGCAAGAAAAATCTGAGTCGACAGAAGTAAACGATCAAGATGAGCATACTTTCAAATCAATCAAAAGCAATGATTCTGTTGGTGAATGCCCTGATATTGACAGCTTTGTCAATTCAAATGAATGTAAGGAAGGCGAAGGCATCTCAGAATCTGCTGAAAATGAATTGAATCAAAATTCCTCTATTGATACGAAAGAAAACACGTTTGATCCTGGGACAATTGTTGATCTTAATCTCAGCATTAGCGAAAAAAGGTGTTTACTTAAAATGAATCCATGCCAACCATCCCTGTTTGTTTTGAAACAAAGGAGGATAGTACAAGGAGATCGCACTCGCTATTGCTCCAAGCAGGTTTTTTTCCACGATGATGGGACAAGACGAAAATGGATTTCCTATTCACTAAGTGAAGACAGCTTGTTTAGCATACCATGCATTCTGTTTACAGATGTAACGTCTAGGGGAGAAAATATTCGGTCAAATCAAGGAAAAGCTTTTGCAAACATTGGTTTCTCCAAATGGAAAAAGCAGTATATTAGAATTCTGGAGCATGAAAAATGCAATTCTCATCTAAACGCAAAAGTTGCAGAAGGTCTTTTCCTTCAAGAAAACTCAATATCGGATCAGTTTCATCACCAGGGAAAATCGAGTCTGAAAGACGTAAAAGGAAGTTGTTTTAAACAAAACAGTTTTGAAACGTGTGATAGATGTTATTATGTTTCTTGGAAGACAAGGGCTTTCCTTTAGGGTCACTGTTCACTGACAAATTTCTATGTTAATACAGGAAACTTTTGGAAACGCTTAAATTATTGTCAGAGTACGATCAACCAATCAATGAGCATCTTGAGAAAGTTCGTGATCACCAAGTGCAATCGACAAAGAATGGTGGTAAAACTGATGAAAAAGGAATCAAAGGACGTGGCTCATGGCTAACGTTTTTGAGCAATGATATTCAAAATAAGTTAATCAATATCATTGGTAAAGAAATATATTCTGTAATTGTACAAAAAAATACGCAACTGCAAAGCATGGGCATTGATTGCTGATACAACACCCGATATAACTCATACAGAGCAATTGAGTATATGCGTAAGGCTTGTTAATGAAACTGGCGAGTGTTCTGAACACGTTTTGTCATGCCAAAAAGCAATTGGAACAATTGCACATGACCTATGCACTGCTATTACAACAATATTACAATTGCATGGAGTTTCATTTGAAAAACTTGTTGCCCAAACGTATGACGGAGCATCCACTATGAGCGGATGTTATAATGGTTTGCACGATTGTAAAAGAGAAAATCGGAAACCACATCATATTTGTTCACTGCTATGCGCATACACTAAATCACGTCTTGTCCGATTCAGCTTGTGTTGCTATTGATGTCATTACTCTTTTTGACTCTCTCGAAAAACTGCACGTTCTCTTTAATAATTCTCATAAAGTACACGAATTGTTTCAATTGGTTCAAAAGAATGAAAACCTCAAAATTTTTTCGATTAAACGTCTTAATACAGTTCGATGGAATGCAAGAGAATTTTGTCTAAACGTATTTCTTTGAGATTCGAGTGCATCATGCGAGTGCTCCAAAAGTAGCTGAGGAAAGATCGTTCACTGAAAGTCAGCGAGCAACAGCAAATGGATTGCAAGCAGCTTTTCAGACAAAGCAATTTGTTGCGACTGCCTGTCTTTC